CAGGGACCTTATTCAGAGGGTCAAAATCTCCAAGGGTCCCCTAATCCTATCAAGGGTTTAGGGCTGTAAGGGGCTCCAGGACTGAACATATCGAGAGGGTTTTTCATGTCATCTCCAGAAGGCTTCCCAAGAAGGCCAGTTACCTATAGGGTCTTCCTGAGCGTGTCATACGTATTGTATAACGGCCTTATCAGGTTTACGGGATTTTTTTACCTGGGCGCCCAGTTGCAGTGTTCCTGCAGCCCTACAGAATGACACAAACCCTGCAGTACTCATAACCCAGCAACCAAATGTAATCTGCCGGGTTCAGGGAGGGTTTGGGAGCGGCCGGGTCAGAAATAAACATCGCAGGCCCCAGCATCTTAGGGGCCTTAACTTGAACAGCGGCAGGGCCCCTTGTTTTTTTAGTTTTTGCGTCAATATGTTTAAGAGGAGCCCAGCCCATAAGAAGGTTCATGTTGTCTTTCCTGCCGAACAGGGACCCAGTTTTTTCAGAGTTCGGAAGGGTTGGGAAGGTAGGGTTTGGAAAGGAGAGCGCGTGGCAAGAAGCTTGTACTTAGGGTTTTACGCTATCTGAACGTGCGTTTTTTGTTGCCAGTCACCCTGGTGATTCTAAACCTGCTCCTCCATACACTCAAACCCAAGCCATACTCTGCACAATCCAAAGCGTAGCAACCCCAAGCCCTAAACCCTAGACACCATGTAGCAACCCTAAAGCCGAAACCCTGGACCATCGACCCAGAAATGTGGCAGCATCACTCCCGCACCCCCACAAGAATCCTAAACGATACCACTTTAACCTCCATCCAATGACTCCAGTAGATACATGATCAACGTCTGTCCAATCCTCGGAAGCCTTTCCTAGCCCTAAACCCTAAACCCCTAAACCCTAAACCCCTAAATCCTGAACCCCTAAACTTCAGGGAAAGCCCAGCAACAAGGTGCTACCAGCGGGCAGTCGCTGCTGGACCAACTTCAGTCGGACTTGGAGCGGGTCTTCACGCGTCTGGAGGTGGTTCTCTTGGGTTTAGGGTTTAGGGTTCAGAGGGTTTAGGGTTTGGGCTGTAGGGGCTGTTGGGTTTTAGGGTTTTGGGGTTTTGGGGTTTCGGGTTTAGCCAATAACCCCAAAAAATGATATGTACATGTTTCAAGGGTACATATGAGGGCTTCAGAAGGATTGACACATGTAGCTCCTGCGGGCTGGAGAAAGCCCGCCGTCAGCCGTGGGCGCTTACCTACTTGGAGGTGCGTGGTGCTTATTAACCAATTCCAACTGTACTTATAGCTGTACTTATAGCCATACTAGGGCACTTAAGGGGCTGATAAGTGGGTTATAAGTAGAGTTATAATTGGTTAATAAGTACCATGAACCTCCAAGTGCAGGGGGCCAAGGGTTGAGGGTTGAGTCTAACGGTATGTTTCATGGTCCCCGAATATGGTCCCTTACTCTTTTTCAAGGGTTCTGATGTATGGGCCCTTGGGTTGCACAGGGTATGTAATGTGTATATAAGGTGCCCCCTTTTTAGGGCCCACATTAAGGGACCATGCAACTACCCGAAGATTGAGGGTTTAGAGCTGGTTGTCTTTTTCATCTGATCGGATCTCTAGGTCATCCGTTATCCCCAAAGACGGTATTGCAACTCAGAATCGAGGCCTTCTTTCCTAAACCCTTAACCCTAAGCCCTAAACCCTTCACCCTAAACCATGAATATTGATCCCTGAACCCTTAACCCTTAACCTTAACCCCGAAAGCCGCTCACCCGGGCTGGAGTGTCAGGCCTTACCTACGGTTTCAGGGTGTAGGGCTTCGGATGTCCGACTAAGACGTAGAACATCGGCTTCTGGGTTTAGGGTTTAGGGTTTAGGTCTTCTGGCCCTCCTCCAAGACGCATTTATGAAAGCCTTCTGAAACCTCGAGCCCTGAGGCCCCTAAACCCAAACCCTAAGCCCATCAAGCCCTGTAGCATTTTTGTGAAGCCCTAAGCCTAAGCCTATCCTCAACGCTATACACCCACAAAGCCTAAACAGAAAGGTGGTCGAGACGCAGCTGGGTCTCACAGAGAAGCTACAAGTGGCGCCTTGAGCTAAAGTTGTTTGCTTCTTGAGGTTCGTACCAGGTATTCAGCAGGGTTCTGGTAAGGCTAACCCCTCAACCCTACACCCTAAAGCCTAAACCCTTGTGTAAGGGCTTTATGCGGGCGTGTTGGTGTGGTTCCCTAAAGCAGCAACCTCGAAAGCCCTCGCCCATCGAACCCTGAACCTCCTTCGGCCCCGCGGCCCAGGGTTTAGGGTTTAGGGTTTAGGGCTTAGGGTTTAACCCTAAACCCTAAACCCTAAATCACGGGTCTTTTGCCAACGTTTTTGTTGCCCCCCCCCCCCCCCCCCCCCAAAACCCCCAACCCCCCACCCCCAACCCTCCCAACGCTTTCAAGGTGCGGAAAGGGCTTCTTCTGGCCCAGACCCCCCCATTGGGCTCGAAACCCTGGGCCTGGGGCAGATGAGGGTTTCGACGCCCCCCCCCCCCTCATTCTTTCTCATCTTGAGTGGTTCGAGGGTGGGGGGGGAAACAAAAACATGAGCTGCACAAAAGTTAGGTTTTTTTGGTCAATCCGGGCCACTGCCTAGTTGGTTCTAGGGTGCGTTGGGGATTGGTTCGCGGTGGCGAAAGGCGGCAAGCGCTCGAATTGCAGTCTGAAGAATACTCATGCGGTTGTACGAGGATACCACCCGCCACTTTGTTTCGGAGTGTTGCGGGCCTGTTGAGAAAAGTGGAAGCATGAGGTTAACAAAATCAGGTTTGTTTGCTTTTGGCTGTTCGTGCCCGACAACAATAATCATGAGGTTAATAAAAGTAGTTTGTTTTTTTAGCTGTTCGTGTCCGTTACGAGTGTGGGGTGGGGGAAAAACCCAGCAACATGAGGTTAACAAAAAAAGGTGTACTTGTTGGTTGTTCGTGCCCGAAAACAAAAACATGAGATTGTACGAGGATGCCCCTGGACCGCTCCATGACAGAGTGAGGTTGGGGGACAGGGCTTGCTGACGAGAAATGTAGACGTGGCTTTGTTTTTTTCTAGAGTCGAAACAGCGGCTCAACCAGACATTGCTTGACCAGGAGCTGCTGAAACCTAAACCCTATAAGGCCCAAACCCTAAACCCTAAACCCTTCCTGTCCGAAAATCCTAGGCGAGAGCAGGGAAGATGGATGCCGATGACACCAAAGAAAGTGCGGAGGCACCCTGTTCTGGTGGATCTGAAAGGGGAGTTGTATTTAGGGTTTAGGGTTTATTTAGGTTTAGGGTTTTTGGGTGTTGGGTTTTGGGTTTTGGGTTTAGCGTTTAGGGTTTAGGGTTTAGGGTTTATTTCGGGTTTAGGGGAGTTGTATTTCGGGCCACCCATCAGCCCTGAAGAGAGCTGAAATCCCTATCAACCCTAAACCCTAAACCGTACAGGGTCGTGGCCTCGGGCTTAGTAGCTGAGTGAGTACACGTTACACTTTTTTGGATACTACAATCCCCCTATAGAACTGAAAGCGTACACCTTTGGGAGGCTTATGAACTCAGCAACTAAGTTCAGGGTCTTGGGCTTCAGGGTCTTTGGGCTTCAGGGCCTGATAGACCCTAAACCCCAAACCCTAAATCCTAAACCCGCAATGAAGTCTTCACACTATATGTCGTCTACCTGCCAAAATTTCCTTGCTGCTGCATAGGCTTCATCGCATGTAGGCTTGTACCCAAAAGTAGACAAATCTGTGTATACTAGAAACAGACAGAGAGTGGGAAAGAACAAGAGTAGGAGAGAGAGCCTGGAAGAGCGAGAGAGGGAAAGAAAACGAAGGAGAAGCACGTAGAAAAGCACATCCAAATCATTTAATATATGGGGTCGGAATGTTTACTACTGGTACTCCCTTAGGGTCCCTTCATAGTTGCACTATAATCGCCCCCAAAACCCTATTCGAATCATTCAGGCCCCTTACCTGTGCTAAGCTCGCTAAACCCGAACGGCCCTAAACCCCAAAACCCCTGAACCCCAAATCCTAAACCCTAAGCCCTAAATCCTAAACCCTCAAGCCTTAAGGCCTCACCTGAAGCCCGAAGACATTTAGTTGATGGACACATTCCTGCATTGCCACACCATAATTTCGAGTTTAGGGTTTAGACTCTCGAGCTAGGTCCCACTTAAAACTCTTAAATGCAGAATTTTGTAACCCTAAACCCTAAACCCTAAACCCTAAACCCTAAACCCTAAACCCTAAACCCTAAACCCCTGAAAGTTCCATGTTGGGCAGGCCTTGGAAGTGAGTGAAGCTTTCAAAGCTGCCATCCCCTGCATGACCGGCGGAGAGACCCCGACGCGATCAGAGAAGGGGTCATGGAACCGAAGGTTAGATGGGATTCTTGGCCGCATGGTTTAGGGTTTAGGGTTTAGGGTTTAGGGGTTTAGGGTTTCGGGTTTAGGGTTTAGGGTTTGAAGGTTTGCTTGGAGGTTCATGGTACTTGTGTAGTTAGAACCCACTTAGAAGCCCCTTAAGTGATTCTTGGCCGCGAGAAGGTGGAGGGCTGGACAGTCTCCGAGTTTTGTTGGGTTGAGAGTCTGAGGGGGCCGCAGGGTTTAGGGTTTGGGGTTTAGGGGTTTAGGGTTTAGGGTTTAGGGTTTAGGGTTTAGGGTTTAGGGCATGAACCCTAAACCCTGACCTAGGGGTTTTAGGCATTTGGGTTGCTTCCGGGTTCAGGGCTAATGACTCAAGCGCAGTTGTCGAGTAAGGAATCTCTTTGGGGGTAGTCTAATCAGTATAAAGGTCAGGGTTTCTGGGATTCCCGAAGCAGTGAAATTCAAAGCTCAACCTTGCATTCCCCTACGAAACTGGACAAGCAGGCAAGGTTTTGCGGGTTTGGGGTGGATCCTCGATTCCTCGTTCACAGCCGTATATTCGACATGCTAACGGCTCACATGCCCCAAGGTTTTCTGAGGTCGACTTCGAGCAAAGTGTTTGGAGCATTCCGATGGTTTCTGGACTGACGGATGTCGGCTTATTCGACCGGCTCTTCGCTGGTATGCTGGTCGCCCTAAACTTGGGCATCTTGGGTGTGATTTTATCGCTCTTCTGGGGTTTAGGGTTTAGGGTTTAGGGTTTAAGGCTGTAGAGTTGGTATGAGTTGGTATGTCTGAACTTGGGTATTTGAGTTCTGGAGTCCAGACCTACTCCCCACTACTCCCGAAGGCTCCCTGAGCTTCCCTAAGGCTCCCCTAGATACTACGTACCTACCCCTTGAACCCCCCTCCCTTAAGAACCGGGTTTAGGGTACGGGGGCAACCGAAAGGGAGAGGAAACCAACCCCAACAGTCGCCAGAGATTTCACCCTGAACCAACCAGCAAACAACAGGAACTCAAAACTTCTTTTTGCTACCAGGCGCATGGCCCAGTCTTGAGCCATGAAGATCAGCAGGTACATTGACCCTTCAACTTTCAACACCAACTCCTTTCTACAATACCAACTGCAGCTCCGCACTCCCCCTGTCCTAGGATTTCCTAGGACACATTGGAGGTGCAGATCTTTGGCCAAAAACTGCCATTAGGGCAGCAGCCAGCTGCCTGAAATGCACATTATGGTTTTACGTCATCCAGGACGAATTTATAGCACATTGGCTAAACCCATTAACCACAGAGAATCTTTTTTCACCATGATCCTCTTGTCAGTGAAGACTCTTCGGTCTTCTTCACCACGAACCGTGGTCTTCGCTACGCAAAAAGCTACTGACTTCTACTATCAGGGATTTCCATACCCTTAATAGTAACCACCGCATTTTCAGCACATTGGCTGTTCCAGCGCACCTGTCTTCTGAAAGAGAAAAACCATCCCTTCATCCATACCATCCAGTCACTTCTTCTTCCGATGGGTATCGATACTGAGGTGAAGTCGCAGCAGAACATACTCTAGGTCCGACACTGTAAGAACAGGATCCTGCACGCACCTTTGAATTGAGGATACCAATCCCTCTCTCTTCGCGTCCTCAATCGCTTGGCAAGATTGACCCCAGCTCTGCACCCACAGCGGTAGACGCTTGCGCATCCACATCAGAGGAACGATCCTTTTCCTCAGGACCTTTCACCACTACCACCTCTTCCTTCTTGGGGCTTGGACTTTTCTCCTTCTTCTTCGTCTTTCCCACGACGCTTGACTTTGTGCGCATTCTCGAAGAGGCTTTTTCCCCTGCAGAAACCACCGCATTGGATGATGATCCACCCTTCTCAATGATCGCCGGCATCTTCTTCGGCTTTGGAACCATGAGAGTATACGGATCCTCGCTAGCTGCAGTTTTCCTCTTCTTTTTGACCTTTTTCACCCCTTCCTCAACGGCAACATCCGTCTCCGAAGTTTCAACCACCTCCTTTTCGGCAGGAATATCCTTGTTGGACTCCCTTTCTAGGGACCTCTTTTTTCCCCTTTTGGGATCTCTGTCTTCTTCAACATTGGCTCGCTCAAACCATATCCTCAGGTCATTGACCCATTCTTCCACCTCCGCCAGCGAAACCTCATACGACTTCACTATTTCGTGAAGTTCTAGTGTAGACAACATACCAGTGGTCCATGAGCACCATTCTCTATCCATCTGTTCAGCGTCTCCCTTGAACTTCAGGAGTTTGAACACTGGGTCCGCCTCTGCACGAGCCAAATCTGACTTGCCATTGGACATAAATGAAATCGCCTCCATCAACAGTTCCACCATTTTGGTATCATCGTCATAAACCATGAAATCCTCCTCATCTTCATCGAATCGTTCAGGAGAGATCTCCTTTTCTCCACCTTTTGCGCCAGAACTTCTCCTTGGACCATCCCTTGGGGGCGTCCTTGGAGACCTTGGCCTCTGTTCATCCAGCGGATCACCATGCTCAAAGACACACTTGTCCCCATAACGGCACTTCCCAGACTGAGCAAACTGGATACACCTTACACCAGTTGCATCATGTGAGAACTTACACTCCTTTCCAGAGAAGCAGTGTCTCCCAGCCACATAGTACTTGCACCAATACGATTGCAGCACCACATCATCTTCTGAATGGATGAATTTGCAGTGTTCACCAAATTTGCAGCGATCTTTTCCCCTGCTGAACCAATAGCAGAAGCCTTTCTTCCTCTTCTCCAAACGCTCCGCCTCGTACCGGTCCATAGGGCGATTCTGCTCTACATGAACATTGCCACGTACCGGAGAACTGCTCCCCTCACCCAAGGTGCTATCAGTATCTGATGCTTGGAGTACAGCTGGAAAACCTGGCCTTGGTCCTACCACCTTCATGATTGGTTTTCCGCCAGCTCCTGAGCCACGCTGAGACGATCCAAAAACATTGAATATTTTCACGAAGGCCTTTCTAGTGCCGATCTTCTGCACCCTTTTGATTGGATGTTTCATTGCTCCAACCTTGCATCCAGATACATTCAAACGACACAACCTCCTATACCCAGCTGTATATCCCTTTTTCCAAAGAGCCATAAGAATTCTAGAGGCAGTAACATTCTCCACCTCTACCTTTTCCAACTGTCCCTCACTTTCCGGAACAAACCCATCCAACCCATCCATATCTGAAGACCTTTCCATCTTTTTTGACACCACTTCGTCGAGGTAGTCTTCAGAGATTCAGGGTAAGTTCCTCTTAGAGGAAAAATCGTCACCATTGTCTGGTCCTTCACCAGGATACCCCTTCGTGCTGTCAAAGATCCTACCAGTCGTGCGGTCCTGCGTAGAGAAATCCCAGTTGGAAGCAACGCGAGAGTACACTGACCACAAGAACATCCTTGTGCCAGCCAATCTTGACGAACCACTGGATGTCTCCTCTTCTGGAGAAACTTCTGGCGCTTTGCCATCCCTTCCAGTGTCACCAATTGTCTCACCTCCAGCATCTTCAATGGGAATCAGGGATTCATTGTTCCCTTGATCAAGTACCGCATCTTCCTGTCCAAGAATCTCCAGCACCGTTGTTGAAGGATCCACTTCCTCATCAGCATCGTCGTCCATCCTGTTCCAGAGAACCTCCAATTGATCAGCGCATGTCGCCGCCTGAAGGAACTCCATCAATTGAGCCTTCCCGCGCTGCCAGAGAAATTCCGAATTCACCACTGACCCTTGGCCTCCTAGGGTAAGGAACGGAGCAACCAATTTGGCTACCCTCGCCATAAGTTCAACGTGAACTTCCATGCCTGGACTGCGACTCCAATCGTAGGCAATTGCCTCCATAGCAGTTCCAAACTTATCAGTATTTCTGAATTCCCCTTCCAGACCAGGAGACAGCAATGCACCCATCACCGAGAGAGGATAATTTCCCACCACTGGCAAGCACGGATTGTCATGGAACGAATGATGCAAATCACCATAATATCCTTGATCTCTCCTTTGAAAAAGGAGTGTCCCAGTCCCTAGCTGGGCATTCAATTCATCCACTTGAACCATTTCAGCACATATCCTCTGTGCCGCAGTCGCTATTGCCGGCCAGATGGTACGATCGGTCAAACCGCGACGCATAACCCAATCAGTTGTTGGCGACTGAATCAGCGTTCGTGGATCATACACCATAACCACCATTGTACCATCATCCATTAACTGATCAGCATCGTCCTCCAGTGCCAGGTTCAAATCCTGTTCGCTTGCACCTTCGGATGACATGCTAATAACCAAATTTCGATCCATCTTATTGGACCCCTTCTGACAGTCCCTTTGCCCCACAGGCAACTTGCCGACAGCAACCTTCCAATAAATCCGATTCAGAAGGCCTTTAGTAAGCAATTGCTGAGGGTCCTTCTTCACCGGACGAACATCCAATGTCTTCGCACCATCACCACGGAGTTCATTGCTCCCACCTTCTCCTTCTTTTTGGTCAGTCTCCTCGCCAGAAATTTGCACTGCTCCTTCCAGCGCCGTCTCCTGTCCAGCCACTTCTTGCCCAGGAAGAACTTGAGCGCTTTCAGATACATTCACCTGTCCAGCAACACCCTGCCCAGGTAAAACCTCATCCGTGGAGCCCACCGCCAGCGAACCAACTATAACTGAGCCATCCCTTGCTCTTTTTTGAGACTGTTCAGTTCGACGAGAAGGTTGTGGTAGCGAAAAAACTTGAGAAGTCACTTCTTGGCGGGTCTCCCCCCGCGACGCTTTGTCGCGCCCTTCGCCAAGGTGAACCGATTTTTTCTGCCCATCATTGGGGCTTGAAGAACCAGCCATTGGAACATTGCCACGCATTGCAGTTCTTTGTGAATCCCTTTCGCGCAAAAAGATTTCCCTCAGGTGTCTCGCGCTGTTGGTTTCTTCCTCGCTTGAATCACCTGAGGAATCTGCATAGGAGACCAAAGCTCCCGTTTGATCATCATCATCCACCAAATCTGCCCACGCTCTGCTGAATGGGTACGACAAACCACCACGGGGCTTTACTGGTTCCAGCGGCTTTGGCTTTTCCACCACTTCCGCCGGCTGCACTCGCCGTTGTGAGCGAGAGCGTGGCACCTGTCGCACCTGTTTTTTATACAGCAAGGGCCTTCCCCGGTTCCCCTTTTCACAGGGTTTGATCTTGACCGATACGCCTTTGTTGGCGGGTTCACCGGTGGCATTCCAACTCCCACCAATCGCAACCTCTGCACGCACAGCCGGGATCTCTGCGCAAGCGTCCATGCGTCACGGTACTTGCCGGTGTCGAAAATCTCTCGATAAGACCCTCGCGGCATCTCCTTTGTACCAGGACCTTCAGCTTCACGCACCTGAGAGATAGTTCTCACCCCATCTCTTCCAGCTTCTCGGCTTCCAGAAGATTGCTCCATGCGTACCGACGCGTTGGTAGAAACAGCCACATCCGGCGACATTGGCCGGTACTGAACACCACCCACCAATTGCAGAATTTTGCAGGCCGTCACCTTGTTAACTCCTTTTTCCACCAAATCCTCCACAAAGATATACTCTTGTAGCTCTTTGACGTTGGTGACACCCAGCTTGATCATAACATCACTTACGTGAGGTGTATACACCCACAAGTGGTTGTTGCGAGCCATCCAATGTTCTATTGGCTCTTCAGGATCCTGAAGACGTACCGCGGTAGACGCTGCCACCGAATCCTTTTTTTTGTACCTCTCCATCCGTTCCATCCAGTGTATCACCTTCACCGATTTCCTGTGACACATTGGTCATTTGCAGCGCTTTTGGTGCCGAGGATGACGAAGATTCTGCTCCCCCACTTACCGGTGGTTGAAAGGCGTTCCTGTCGGGAATCTCCAATCCTCTTCCCCTTTGAAATGACACATGGTTCGCCAAATTCACCAGATGCTTCAATTGGGCCAGTCGTTCTTCAGACATTTCTTCGTGAGAGTACTTGCAGCCATATCGCACGCGACATCTCCCTTTAAGGTAGTAGTCGAAGCAGCAATGATGGAACCCTGCTTCCCTTAGGGCCTTCCGAGACGCATTGTCCCAGGATCTGCCGGGCTCCCAAGTCCCTTCCAAAACCGCCTTTTCATCGTGCGAGTATCTGCAGGAATTTCCATATTTACAACCTTCTCCTTGGTTGTAATACAGACACATCTGCCTCTTTGGCTCGACTGACACCGACTCACCCTTTGATGCACCTTTACCAAAGTTGTACTTGGCTCTGAAAGCTGAATCCTCCCGCTCCTGCTGTGCCTCATCCACTGTGCCTTCTTCCGTAGGAGGGTCACCAATGTCCCCATCCTCGTCTCCAGCTTTTTGGCTGTTCTTTGGCTCAGTTGGTCCTCCTCCTGGCCAACCTTCACCATAACGACGATGTTCATAGGAACACTCATCTCCATTGCGACACCTTCCCTGATTGAAAAACTTGCACAGTTTACTGTACCCCGGCGACACAGTTTTTGGCGTCAGGTGAGCTTTCTTGTACTGATCGGGATCCATGTAGGCTTCCATTGGCTTGTTCTCCCTTTTACTCATGGATTCCACTGCACCATCAAGCTCCTGCAAAAATCGCTTGGTGTCCAGCCAAAGCGCGTTCCAAAGTTCATCTTTGCCTTGACTCAGCAACGTTGCCACCGCTTCACCCACAACTGGTCGACTAAATCTCCTTTTCCTACACGCCAGTTCGTAGAGCGCGTTGTGGTACTGTTTTCGGGAAAAGGTGGTTGTCTTTCCCAAGCCTGCGCCTTCTGCACCATCGGGCTTCCAACCATCACTTTGCAAGATGCCATACGCACGCCGAGCTTCAGCATCCAGGAATGCATGGTCTGCAACACACTCCTGTATCTCATCCATTGTACGACCCAACAGCATCCCAGTGATTTTGCCCACATAGGCCTTATCAGCCTTTCCATCCTCAAGAAGAGCTCTATAGATCTTTTCTCCATAGAGTTGCCTTTCCTCTCGTTCTTCTGAGGATAACTCCTGATCAGCAAACCATTCATCGGATTGCTCTTCCTCCCATTTCCAGTCCCATTGACTGTTGGAATCTTGGTACCATTGACCAGCATACCATGAATCTGTCCACCACGTACTCCAGCCGCTGTCTTTCCATTTGCGCAGCGTCGAAGAAGAGTCCTCCTCGTCCTCTTCCAAAACCAGGAAGGTGTCCAAGATCACGGTACCATCATCTTCCACTCTTTTCACTGTTCCATTGACAGTATCACCAAATTTGAATAGATGTGTGTTCTTCCCTTCTGCAGGAATCAATACATTCACATCGCCATGGTCCAAAAAGGCTCCATACCCATTGATGCAGCGCACTAGACCAACGATCTGATCTTTTTTTGTTGATAGCAATGCTCCCCAGGTGTATCCAAGGCTCCCGCTCTGGGCACTTTCTTTGCATGCTCTTCAGAAACCATCTCTGTATCATCGGGTCCTGAAACATCCTTTGTTTCCACCTTTGGGTCACACTGCTCGTCGTGCTCCAAGATCATCCATCTTGTGCTCCAGGGGCTCAGGACCTTCCTTTTTTCCAGCCAATGGCTTTGCCTCATCTGTTGCAGTTCGCTCGGTGTCGACTTCCGGCGAGCTTCCAGACGGCAATACTTCCCCCTTCATGGGAGCGGACCCATCATTGGAGTCTTTTGTCACACCTTCTGCAGCAGGCAAATTTTCTTCCACTGCAGGGCTATTGGATTGCTCATCCGCGGCAGGTACATTTTCTTCCACCGCAGGCTCCTTTGGCTCCATGGTTTCCAAAGGAGAATTGCCACCATCATTGACCACAGCTGCCGCATTGGCTCCGGTGTAGCCCTTGCTATTTCGTTCCTCGCTGCTAACTTCAGGTTGCACCAGTGCGTCCACCTGTGAACCTCCGTCGTCAGCTGCTACGGAGACCTGCGCCCCATTGTTGCAGTCGTCCGCGGAACGTGACACCATATGCACCTCAACCCGTGCCTCTTTCGCACTCCAGGTACTATCTGGCGCATTGACCCGCGCATCATTGGCGCTCCAGGCCTCATCTTTCAGATCTTCCGTGTCTCCAGCTATTCCAGAAGCTTCTTTTTCTCCCTGAATGGCAAGATTCTTGGCACCAAACGAAGAGACCTCCTCAGTCGTAACGCACAACTTTTTCCCTCCGTCCTCCAAATCTCCAGGATCACCTTCCTGAACGACAGGTACCACATCCACCACTCTCTCTTCTGCAGCCGACACAGTTCCAATCTCCGCATTGGGCATTTTTTCCTCTGGACCCACCGATTCCACCGCTGCCACACCCTCAGAAAGCACTTCCATTTCTTCCCGATCCAGATGTTCTCCAGCGATGTCTGCTCGGCTTCCAGAAATCCCTTCCTCATCAGGAGAACCCGAGGTCGGGGCGTCACCACCAGCCCTAAGACCGCTCTCCCTGATAGTAGAGGAAAAATCCTTTTCACCTACACTATTTACACCGCTGTTGACACTTTCCACGCTACCCTGTTGTGCCCTGAAAGACTCAGTAGGCGACGAGGACGAAGTAGTACCCAGTGCTGGCTCTTCTTCCACAGGGACAATGCCCCTTCCAACACCAGACCCTTCACTGTTTCCAGCCATCCCAGTCTTCTTAGGCAACACCCATTGGGTATCTCCCGTGTCTAAGCAGTAAAGATATTCTCTCCCATCCTCGTGAAAATGGCGATCCCATGTCTTCCCATCACAGTCGATGATTGGAAGGTCAGCAGCTTGAGACAATTTGCCTCCACCATCAGCGTGTAAGTCCTCATCTGACTCCTGCTGTATTCTCGCTGCCTCCAATTCCAGGATTTCTCCTTCACTCATCACCATAGCAACAGGAACAACTCCTTCTGCGTCCCCAGCGACGAGGATACTGCTTTTTGTCGCAGCAACAGGCGCAGTTTCTTCCGCTTCACCTGTCAACAGATCACCACTTTCAGCCGCGAAGCTCACTTTGTTGCGAGCTCGCTTGGAAACAGGGATAACATCCCCAACCAGCTCTGTCTGGCACCCTTGCTCCACCATCTTTGACGTAGAGGAGCTTGTTGTTGGCGCTCCCGTTGATTCAGCAGGTCCCGCAGCTCGAAGACAAAGCCCCTGTTTACTCAGAAGGCGCAGCAAAACTGCTTCCATCTGGTCTTCCAGTCCTTCTACCACCGGCTTCTCTCCGCCACGCATACCACCAACATCAACCAGAGCTTCCACATTGGGAACAACTTTTTCACCCGTTGCAGACCTTTTGACACCACCTTCACCTTGATCGCCCACATTGGAGCTCGATGATGCCGTACAAGTCTGTAACCAGTTGGTAGCCATGGCTTCAACTATCACCCTAAAGCCGAAACACAGACCGCAGGGAACCTAATTTGGGCTCATAACCTACGGGGGCAACCGAAAGGGAGAGGAAACCAACCCCAACAGTCGCCAGAGATTTCACCCTGAACCAACCAGCAAACAACAGGAACTCAAAACTTCTTTTTGCTACCAGGCGCATGGCCCAGTCTTGAGCCATGAAGATCAGCAGGTACATTGACCCTTCAACTTTCAACACCAACTCCTTTCTACAATACCAACTGCAGCTCCGCATAGGGTTTAGGGTCTAGGGTCCAGGGTTTTAGGGTTTTAGGGTTTAGGGCCCTATAATGATAAACGTCTGGAGGCTCCACTTCAGAGCCAAGGTATGCAGAGTGCCTTCTCCTGGATTCTACTGACCGACGCCTTTATAGGTGAAGCCTTCGAAGCCAAAGTGGGCAGTGCGAGAGTTTGGCGGACAAGTATTGCCCACGACCACAAGTACACCGACTTTGCGGATACCAGCTTGGTATCCAGAGTTTGCTCCGGCGACGGGGCCCTGATCCTTTCCACCATACAGGCAACCCTGAACCCTGAACCCTAAACCCTAAACCCTATTCCCTGAACAAAAGGGCCCAACTCCAAATGGCCTTAAAGCTTAAACCCTTAAACCCTTTAACCCTTTAACCCTTTAACCCTTAACCCTTAAACCCTTAACCCTTAAACCCCTAAACCCTTAAACCCTTAAACCCCTAAACCCCAAAACCCTCAAACCCTTAAACCCTTAAACCCTAAACCCTAAACCCTGCTCCCGCAATCGCAGGCAACTCTCGTGAGTCACATCAACTCGTACCTTGGACTCCAGGTGCGAGATTCAAGAAAAAAAAGGGGGGGGGGGACCCTAATACAGAACGCCGGAAGCAAGGATCCCTGAACCCTAAACCCTAAACCCTAAACCCTCCCCAAACCCGAGTAGGATCCCTAAACCCTAAATCCTCAACCCCAGTAGGATCCCTGACACCTACATCCCTAAGCCCGAAGCCCTAAACCCTAAACCCTAAACCCGAAACCCTAAACCCTAAACCCTAAACCCCAGAGTTGCTCCAACTCGCAGGAGGGGGACTTCGACCCGTCGATGTTCGAACCCGGCGTTCTTCTTTGTATCTAGGATGCCCAGTAGTACCCTTATTCCCTTTTTGGGGGGTTTAGGTTCCCTTATAAACCCCTTTGAGCAAAAAGGGGCACCCTTTTTAAGCCTAGGTTACTGGGCAGCCTAGGTATGCTTTGCATTCTGCTGTGGACTTTGTGCGTCTACAAGGACTGCACGAATTCAGCTAATAGGTAACGGCCTTAGGAGGGGTGGTAGTGGTACTGGTAGTGGGACTGGGAGTGGGAGTGGGAGTGGGAGTGGGAGTGGGGGTGGGGGTGGGAGTGCGTCGTCGTCGTCGTCGCAGTAGCCGTAGCCGTAGCCGTAGCAGTAGCAGCAGCAGTAGCAGCACGCCCTTGCCGCGGAGGCCGTGGGTAATTGTTGGCTACTGTTGTTCTTTTGCACACTCTGCTCATTTGCTGTGGTGGGTCTCTACGACCATGTATTTACAGTGGTTTTGCCGCTTTGATGTTGTAGAAGATATGGAACAAGACGCCTGACTGTCAAAACACTCAAACGCATCGTGCCCGCGCTGCTTAAAATTACCGAAATGCACTCATCTCAGAAAAGTAGGTGAAACAACGTTTCTGCTGTGCGAAATGTCTGAATCTGGCCTTGGCACCACTTTGAGCACTTCATGGTGCTGAACGCACCATTTTTGCATGCTTCAGAAGTAGCACCAGCGCAAAACACCGAGAGGTGCGCACTTTTGACTAAGCGAAACGGCACAAGCAGTAAACACGCCCACGGCTTCAGCAGTAGTAGTAGTAGTAGTAGTAGTAGTAGTAGTAGTAGTAGTAGTAGTAGTAGTAGTAGTAGTAGTAGTAGTAGTAGTAGTAGTAGTAGTAGTAGTAGTAGTAGTAGTAGTAGTAGTAGTAGTAGTAGTAGTAGTAGTAGTAGTAGTAGTAGTAGAAGTAGTAGTAGTAGTAGTAGTAGTAGTAGTAGTAGTAGTAGTACTACTACTACTACGACTACTACTATTACTACTACTACTACTACTACTACTACTACTACTACTACTACTACTACTACTACTACTACTACTACTACTACTACTACTACTACTACTACTACTACTAGTAGCAGCAGTAGCAGTAGCAGCAGCAGTAGCAGCAGCAGTAGCAGTAGCAGTAATGGTAGCCGTAGTGGTAGTAGTAGTGGTAGTAGCAGGAATTAGGAGGTTCGGTTGCCACGCTTTCGGGTTTAGGATTAAAGTACTTGCCTTCCAACGCAAGGAGTACCGCAGAATTTGTCTGGAGTTGGAGGCCGCCATCGGAATCCCCAAATCTCGAAGAACCGTCTTCCGCCAGAATGCCTTCGTGAGTATCTCATGGGGCCGCTTCCTCGTCCTGCTGGTAACATCCCTGGCAAGAGCCCTTATCGCTTCTGTCCTACTGTTTGCCGGGATCCTCTGGTTGGCACGCACTACATCAATACAGGAACCTGGGTTGTATTCTGGGATAGTTGTTAGCTTCCCTTTTCAATACCTTAATTTGGAAAGGGCTTGAAGAATTCCAACTCAGGAACTTATGTTGAATGCTGTTGCCCTGAATGCAATCCTGGACGTGGATGAGTTTCTGTTTGCAGGTATGGTGCCCATCAAGACCCAGCACTTTATAAAGGAGCTCCAGCCCATCCACGTGAAGTATAGCCGGATTCGGAGTCAGTTCGAATCCCTTTTTCACTGTGTCTCCTTGTTGCTCCTTGTATCGGCCTCTTACTTCCTTCTCTTGGAACCCCTGAGTGACACGATGCTCAGTGTGAAGCACGAGCTCTGCGGCGGCAACCAAACCTTCGTGGCCGCCTTCAACCCAGATACACAGTTTACCTTCGGGAAGGTTACTGCCGATTCCCGCTCCGCACGGGACCTGTCTACAACTGAAATGGCGGTACAATCCCAGGTGCTTTCAGGTCCTTTGGATCGGAGCGGATTGTTGCGGTTTTCCCCTACTGTGGATCAGTTTCAGGAAGACATCTCGCGCAGCATGAAAGAGGAGGCTTCCTTGTATCCCTTTTGCACGGAGACGATGACCTTCGGCTGCTGTTGATGACCTACAAAGGTTTAGGAGGTTTAGGCTTTGTAGGGGGCTTACGAACCAGCAGTAGACTAGTGCAGGCCTTGCAGGCCCCTCGAAAAAGCATTAAAGACTACTTGGAGGTTCATTGTACTTATTAGCCAATTATAACTGTACTTATAACTGTACTTATAGCCATATTAGGGCACTTAAGGGGCTTATAAGTAGGTTATCACTACAGTGATAATTGGTTCATAAGTACCATGAACCTCCTAAACCCTAGACTCTAAATCCTGAATCCTAAACCCTAAACCCTAAACCCTAAACCAAGTACTGCCTCAGGATCATGCAGGAGGACGGCCCGTTCCACAAAGATGAAGGCTTGCAGGGAATAGCCAGGCAGCTTCTCAACAATGCAGCAGCAACTTAGTTGCCCAGTGCCCAACCGTTCCTGGGGTTTCTTGACATAGGTCACAGCTCTAAAAGTTAAACCTTTGTTTCTTAGGGTTTAGTGTTTAGGGTTTAGGGTTTAGGGTTTAGGGTTTAGGGTCTAGAAAAGCAAGGCAAGCGTCGGGCGTGTCGGCGCGCAGAGCTGCCACGAGCTGAGCGACTTCTGCAACGCCCCCGATGCGCGCTTGGTGCGGCTGGTTTGTGGTGAACCTTGGATGCCCTAAACCCTAAACCCTAAACCCTAAACCCTAAACCCGAAACCCTAAACCCTAAACCCTAAACCCTAAACCCTAAACCCTAAACCCAAGTAGGAATCCGGCGCGCGAATTGGGCTCCCTTCTCAAGCTTCTCCCGAAGGAAGTTAAGAACCCAGGGTCTTTACTAGTTTGCACGATGGCCCGCTTTAGAATTTGGGGTTTAGGGTTTAGGGTTTAGGGTTTTGGGTTCAGGGTTTAGGTTTGAGGTAGGGTGGGGGATGCCTGTACCGGAGACGTTGGGGCTTTCTGACATGTAAACCCCAAAGCCTAAACCCCAAACCCTAAACCCTAAACCCTAAACCCCAAATCCCAAACCCTAAACCCCAAATCCCAACATAAAACCGACGGCGGCGGCCTGCGCGAGTCTGCAAAGGGTTTAGGGTTACATGGTGTAGGGTTTGGAGTTGTTTCCTTGATTTGCGATTGAGCTTCAGAAGCCCAAAACCCTAAACCCTAAACCCTATAACCCTACAAACCTATAACCCTATAACCTTGGACCAGGACACCTGCGGATGCACTGATCCTACGAGGTTTGCCTGGTATAAGGTGGAATCACAAGGCTGTACGTCTGCATGCCTCCAGGTGCGCCCCTGAACCCCGAACCCCAAAACCTACAGGGTTTAGGGTTTAGGGTTTAGGGTTTAGGGTTTAGGGTTTGGGGTTGAGGGTTTGGGGTTTGGGGTTTGGGGTTTGGGATTGGGGGTTCGGGGTTTGGGGTTTATACCCTCCTAACCGGAAGCCGAATATATAGGAGCCTTGGAAGATGGAAGGAGGTTTTGGGAGTTATTGTGTTTCAAGCTTATAGGTTGTGCGGTTAAGATTTGTTTGAGAGGAAGTATCGTGCGGCTCCAATAGCACAACGGCACTGTTTTGCTGTAGGGTTCTGTTTATGTGGGAATGCGATCCCAATTAGCTGCTAATTTGCGTGCTTTAGATTGATTCTAAGATTTCTGGGATCACCTCTTACTTTTTTTGTATTCAAATGATCCTTTGTTTCTACGAGCAGGGAATTACAGACGTTGTGAGTGATCCATCAACCCCCAATATGCCTCCACAAGCCAAACTCTCAATCCGCACGTAAACATACTAAGGCTCCCACAACCGAAGGGTTTCTGGAACCCCTCCTAAGGAGGGGCCCACTGATGCCCGAACGGTAGGAACCCTAAACCCTAAACCCTAAACCCTAAACCCTAAACCCTAAACCCTAAACCCTAAACCCTAAACCCTAAACCCTAAACCCTTACATGTATTTGTAGGTGCCTTCTTCAGCCCCCCAAAAACTGGGGCGGCTCTCCGGCGCCTTGAAACTGACGTGAGGGTTTACGAAAATAGGGAACCCCTAAATAGGGTTTAGGGTTTAGGGTTTAGGTTGTCGGGTTTCGGGTGTAGGGTTTAGGGTTTAGGGTTTAGGGCTACTTTTTTCAGCTGTTCCTTTACACTAAGGACCCCAATAAGGTACCCCCTAATTTCGGACACCTCCACATGAAAACCGTGACGGCTTGGCTTCCTTCTGGCTGGCTCTTAGGACTTCAGGCTTGTTTGAGGGTTTAGAGTTTAGGGGTTAGCGTAGAAACTACACTGGAGCCTAAAAGTTAAACGTTTAGGAGGGGTTCGGAGGTCAGCCAAAGACAGGGGCTCATTGCGTTCGGGTTTTGGGTTTCGGGGTTTCGGGTTAAGGGTGTTGAAGGTCTGTACTTTGTTGTAAAGGGGGTTAGCTTCCAAGCGCCACTAAACCCAAAACCTGAAGCCCTAAACCCTAAATCCTAAACCCTAAACCCCAAACCCTAAACCCTAAATCCGCAGGCTGGCAGGATGAGCTTGCGGAATCGCAGCTGCCAGGATTCGCCGGCAGATGACACTGGGCGGTTTAGGGTTTAGGGCTTAGGGCTTAGGGCTTAGCAGGGCTGAGGGCTTAGAGCTTAGGGCTCAGGGCTCAGGGCTCAGGGCTTAGGGTTGAGGGGCTTCCGCTTGCCTCTCAGGGTAGATTGCGTGGTCCTTAAACATGGGTTTAGGGTTTAGGGTTTAGGGCTTAGGGGGTTTAGGGTTTAGGGGTTCCTCAATATGGTCCCTTACCTCCTTTAACGGGTTCTGAAATATGGGTTTTATAGGGTATATCAGCGGTATTAAGGCTTCCACTTGTCTCTAAGGGTAGATTGCAAGGTCCTTAAACATGAGTTTAGGGTTTAGGGTTTAGGGTTTCGGGTTTAGGGGTCCCTGAATCTGGCCCCTTACCTCCTTCAAAGGATTCTGAAACATGGGCCCTTGGGTTTTCTAGCGTATATCAGCGGTGTTAAGGGTTCCCAGTTAAGGGCCCATGTTCGTGGACCATGTGGTGAGTTCTTTACATTGTCGTCCCGTATTTTGGGGTACTTTACAGATTAGGGGCATGAGGATTTTGAAGTTTACAAGGTTTGGTCTATGACGGGTTAGGGTGGTTGAGCGCGCGTGATTTTGTATGTATGTATCTATATCTACATATATGTAGAATGTTGTGTCCTTGCTTTTTGTTTGTCTGAGCCCCTTGAAATTGAACGCCTAAAGCCTCAACCCGAAACCTTTACGAATGTACCCAGTGTCTCCTCGAGTCATACTCGTAGAGTCCCTTCCGGGGTTTTGAGTAGAAGGATCGATCCGATATCTTAGGGTCTATATCTTGGGATGCTCCCCCCTCATACTAACAGTCCTTACTAGGATTATAGTACCCCCTATTATATTCCCTTTTAAGGACTATTAGTATGAGGGGGGAACATCCCACTCTGTATCCGCGGTCCCTTCCCCTAAGGCTCTACGGGCCATCTTTTTCTTTGAGGTGTTTTCTGGGAGGCCCAAAGGCCATGCTTACGGAAGGCTTTCGGGCAACTCTCACCCTCAGGCTTACATTCTGAGACTCCCAAGAGGATACCTGTCGTCGGGACTTATGCTTCAGATCCCTGAAGGCCTCATATTTAGGGTTTAGGGTTTAGGGTTTAGGGTTTAGGGTTTAGGGTTTAGGGTTTAGGGTTTAGGGTTTAGGGTTGGGCGTCTGGGAGCTATGGAGTCGGTGTGCCTTAGACGTAAGCTCGTAGGTGGTGGCTTGATAGGCAACTGGGTTTTTTGGACCTAAGCCTGAAAACCCTAAAGCACCAAACCCCAAAACCCCCAACCCTTGAACTTCTGAACCCCCAAAAATTAATATGGTAATTCTTTATTGCCCTTATGAGGAAGAATGTTTTTTTTTGGGGGGTGGGTCTTAAGCAATGAGTAGTAAACCCCTAACCCCTCAATCCACAATTGCCTCTCTGGTCAAGGACATGTGGAATTCCTTCTGGACGGCGTATCCCTCTGTGTTGTCGGGTTGGTTCGGGCGCACGATACAGTCGAATCGACTGTACAGCTTAGTCCAGCAGACTCAGCAGGCCCAGTTTTTGAGGTTTAGGTTTAGGGTTTCGGGTTTAGGGTTCAGGGTTTAGGATTCAGGGTGTAGGGTTTAGGGTTCCCTCAGAGGCCAAGGTGCCCAATGCTAAACCCTAAACCTAAACCCTTTAGGTAACGTATAGGTAAGTACTTTGGGGGAGTAGATGACAGTCAGATACTCGGACCCTTCGTGTTTGCATGTTGCGTAAAGAAGCTTGAGGAGGCTTGAGCTTAGGATCTCTCGGGCTCAGGGGTTTAGGGTTTAGGGTTTAGGGTTTTAGGGTTTTAGGGTTTTGGGGTTTTAGGGTTTTAGGGTTTTAGGGTTTTAGGGTTTAGGGGTTTTGCTGTGAGTTCTACGTGAATGTGTTGTTTGTACAGTTCTTGTTGCGGAGTTGCTCTCAATTATGGTTCCATTGGGGTCGCCCCTAGTATAGTGGCATAGCCTCTTGTAGTTGCATCATGAAACATGCACCAAAACAGGCTTACAACTGAACTTCAGTCAGGTCAACCCCTGTTTAGAGCCCGGACTTCGGTGCGTATTTTGAAACTTTCAAGTGCTCCAATAGAAGATTTTTCATTGGAAGCCGAAAGAGTTTACGAAGTGGGGTATGGATTCCGGTTCCTATGTAATAGGGATCAGAGCCGGGAAAGCCCAAACACAGCCGTTTCCTCAATCACAAAACTCTTGGCTTCCAATCATACCCTAATCCTTGGACCCTAAACCTTTGTAAACTCTAAGCCCCGGGCCAGGTTGGGGTTTTTATGTTCAGAGTTCAGAGTTCATGGTCTTTATAAACACCCCCTATATGATCTCAATGTAGAGGCAAGCCTTCTAAGCCAAGGGGCTTCGCGGCGAGGGTTGCAAAGAAAGGTACATCCAAGAACCTCGGCGCTGAATCTCTGAATAGGAAATCCCAGACCCTAAACCCTAAACCCTAAACCCTAAACCCTAAACCCTAAACCCTAAACCCTAAACCCTAAACCCTAAACCCTAAACCCTAAACCCTAAACCCTAAACCCTAAACCCTAAACCCTAAACCCTAAACCCTAAACCCTAAACCCTAAACCCTAAACCCTAAACCCTAAACCCTAAACCCTAAACCCTAAACCCTAAACCCTAAACCCTACACCACCTCTGAAACCGAAGCTCCACCCCGACCCTAAATTTTTCTTGTTTCCTCCTGATAGGCCTTTTTGGCTCTGATTTGTTCGAGAGGCTCTACAAACACCTCATGTGTCGCTTGCCTTTTGAGAGGAGGCGAGTAAATCCGACCGTTTTTTCTCAGTCAATTTTAGGGACTCTGCCAAAAAGTAGGCGATGGTGGTTTGAGGTAAGCCTCGCCTTACAAGTCTTAACAGCATCCGAAACCCTAAGCGCTGGCCCCCCTAAACTTTGTGGATCTCGTTTAACAGCCTTATAACACGCCGTAACACCCTTCTAAAGCCCTCATAGAGAGCCCCAAGACCCTTGTAAAGCTGTATAATACACTTGAACCCTTAGAAGACGCTATAAGACCCTGAGAAAGTTCTTGTAAAGCTCTCTAACACCCTTGATGTTGCGTCGCCCGGGAGGCCATGCTCGATCAGGGGTGCCGGGCTCTCACGCAGTTCCCTTCGGACTTCCTGACGGGCGCGGCCGCTTGCCCGCAAGGGTTTCTTGGGTTTAGGGTTTCGGGTTCGGGTTTAGGGGTTTAGGGTTTCGGGATCACCTGGAGCAACCGGTGTCCACGAATAACAGGGGACATCCCCGAACTACTCCCAACCCCCCAAACCCGGAAAGCCACCACGAAGCATCTAACCCTCGAACCCTATATCCTACTATTTTAGGGCTCTTAAGGGGGGGAGTGAATGGGGGGCAGGTACCTAGGGAACCTTGGGGAAGCTTAGGGAGCCTTAGGGAGCAGTGGGGCGTACTTGGGAACCTTGAATTACATACCCCCCCTTGAATCCCCCTCCCTTAAGACCCTACAATACTGTCCCTTTTTGGCTCTCTATCAGAAGGCCCCGGCAAGCATAGGGTTTAGGGTTCTGGGTTTGGGTTTTATAGAATCCGCCCTTCTATACATAGGTGTTGGTTTAGGACTCTAGGGTGCGGTGTTTCGCGACGTGGTCATGATTGTGGTGGTGTTGGTTTAGTGGTAGTTGTTGTGGTAGTGATCCTGGTAATTAATCGTCGTCGTCGTCGTCGTCGTCGTCGTCGTCGTCGTCGTCGTCGTCGTCGTCTTTTCTCGGTGTCGGCGCAATAGCAAGAATTGTCGTACTTGCAAATGAGTTTGTAGTGTTGCAATCCTTCAGTCGCATCAAAAAGAATTGTAGCATCGCGGTCACGTCTAGATGCTGGACTGGTTCATCGTTTGCATCAGAATCTTAACATAAGGCCTCAAAACCCTAACCCGGCGGTTGCTCAAAATTAGGGTCCACTTTAGGGAATGTAGGGCATTTATTTTTCTCGTAGGACTCGTAGCTGTTCGTATTACCTAAACCCTTGAACCTGAAACCCTGAGTTGAGGCAAGTTTAAGAAGTCAGGTTCGCATGAAGGTCGCTTCACATCAAGATGAGGCTGAATTTTCAGGCTGAATCCATGTGAACCCTGGATAGAGGGCATGGAATCCGAATACCCTAAGCTCACTTCCACCGGGTCGCCATCTACAAGTACGGTAATTCCCTAAACCCCTGAAACCACAACCCTTATTGGACCCCACACCCTATCCTCAGTGAAAATTAGGGACAGACACTGGCGCCGGCGCCCAGGTATGGTGCCAAGGCTCCGCAGACCTCTTTTGGCCTTTGTCCTCTCTTTGTCCACAGACACTCGGTCGGCATGCAGACCGGGTTTAGTGTTTGGGGTTTAGGGTGTTCAGAAATCAAGGAAGCCTAGTAATGAGTAGTAGCAAATCAACACTTTGGACGACTGCCCCACAAGCTAGGCTACCGCATACTCACCCTGGCTGTCACGCTGTATACAAGCTTTTAGAATACGAGCGCAGAGGTGGATACATAGTTACTTTCATTTCCACACTCGTACACACGCACACACACCCACCCACACACACACACACACACACACACACATACACACATAGCAATAAGGATTGTGTTCGTGCAGCCTTTGCTACAAGAAAGCCCTGATTCCCATTACGACAAGTGAACTCAATACCTTAACTAAGTAAGCCTAAACCCTCAACCCTAAACCCTCAACCCTACACTGCCCTACACCCTAAACCCTCAACCCTAAACCCTGAGCTCTTAACGTTAAACAGTCGGACTCACTGCCGAGGACATGCGGCTGTGATGGCCCTGATGTGCCCTTTGCCAACTTCTGTCCCGACAGTTGCACACCCGCTGGTGAGGGTTGATGTTGTTGCACAGTTTAGGGTTTAGGGTTTAGGGTTTAGGGTTTAGGGTTCCCTATAGGAGCCTCTCGATGTAGGATCTGTAAAACATGTGCAACCGCAGCCTCAATCAGAATACGCCGCAATCCAACATGTTTGGGACAGGTACTTTGGGCTAGAATACGCAAACATACGAGCTGCGCAAAGCTGCGCACTTACGGCGTGACCTCCTACAGTGCCCCCTTAAAGCTTGGTAAGAGCAAAGCCTGTGCAATTGAAGGGTCTGTCTAACAGAGAAAAGTATCCAACAGAAATTGAATAACCTAGCTAGCACGAAAAGCTTATCTAAACAGAAAAGCCTAATCTAAACAGAGAGACGCTATCTACCAAAAGATACCATTTCTAAGCAAAGAACCCTATTTGACAGAAGATGCGGCAAGATGTTGAAGAGAAGCAGGCTGGCACCTAGTAGTTGTATCGTCGTCGTCGTAGAAATTGCTGCAGCAGCAGCAACAGCAGCAGCATAGCAGTAGTAACAGCAGCGGTAGCAGTAAATGGTACTAGTAGAAGTTCTCAGGAATGAGTATTGAGGCTGCCGGCATGCATTTGCCTCCCAAATGGGAGCGCTGATTTTCTTTGGCGATCGTCCCCCGCACAGCCGCAAAGACACAAGCGTCGCAGGACCAATTCATGATATTCATGCCTTAGAAAAGAATGTCAAGGGAATATCATGGTTGATCATTTTTCCCGCATTTCCCTCCAGTTTTTAAGTGCTTCTGCCTCATACAATGTAACACTTGATTGCTCAATATTTCATTCCGAAGGATGAAATCATGGTTCCTCAATCTGATCCCTTACCTTCGTTTAGGTGATTTTTCCGCCATTGATGGCGGAGCTCTGAGACCCCCAAATCCCAAACACCCAAACTCTACAACCCTAAGAGCCAGAAACCCGAAGGGGTTTAGGGTTTAGGGTTTAGGGTTTAGGGTTTAGGGTCTAGGGTCTAGGGTTTAGGGTTTAGACCACCGTCGCGATAGTTTCGTAAGGCAGGACCTTGGGACCTTAGTCCCAAACACCCTGTTCTTTCTGGCAGAGGGTTTATAGGGAATCTGTCTCCGCCTTGCTGACGCAAGACCTTAAACCCTAAAACCCTAAACCCGACACCCTAAACCCTAAACCTATCATGAAAAGGGCTTCCATGAGCTCGGGATCCCGGAGGATGTTCCAATGAACGATGACTCAAGATTCACTCTGTGGATACACCCTAGGTTTAGGGTTTAGGTTGATTTACTCTGTGGATACACCCGAAACCGCAAAATGAAGCCCCAAACCTCAAGCCCGAAACCATGAAAACCTTTAAGAACAAGAAAAAGCAGGTGAGGTGAGGTGAGGTGAGGATCGACCGAGGCACGAGCCTGGCCTAACAAAAGGGCGGCCCCTCCGGCACAAGGCTTAAGAGGCCAGCCCCAACAACACACGACACGACAACCACAAAACAAAAAGGAACAGCAACGCGAAACGAACGAGACAACGCAACGCTTTGCGGACCTCCATGGCGAGCTAATTTGCCCTCGCCCTGACCACCCAAAGGCTCACGTCCTTTACCGCTTCTACCTGCGCGAGCATCTCGATGAGGACCCTGTGAAGCTGCAGCAGAAAAACGAGGCGAAACCACGCGGGTAGAGGCCGGATGAACCAGGCGTCGACGGTGCTGGAGGGGGGCTTGATCCCGGCTCGCACTCAATAACCACTGATTCACTTCGCGACCTTACTTGGCTGACATTTCCTTCCCAATCCATGAGTCTTGAGTTGTACACCACGTGCTTCCCAATATCCAGCTTCTCTGCCTTGTGATGTTGTCCTCGAGTCTGCGCCCACGCAGCATACCAACGCGAGCACCGCTCACACCGCTACCGCGTAGCGTACGCACTGCGAGCACCGCCCGCACTTCTACCACGCCGCCCACGGTCGTCACGTAAACACGGCTCCGGCACCGCCGGTGTCTGCGGCCAGAGCGAAAGCGTCGGCGCCCGGGGTAGACCCTACCCCCGCCTTGCTCACGTCTCCCATCCCATCCCAAACTGCCACCATCCGTCTGTGCAACTGCCGGGTCCGCATCGCCCTGCTGCCAAAAAGTAGGCTCCGAGCTCCGAAACATAGTTGAATTCGAAAAGGGGCCCCACGGCCTGTTATTTCCAAGTATCGCAGAAAAAGTGAATCCTCTCCAGAAATAGACCTCCAGATGCTCAAAGACTGCAACGACCCCCAACCCACGATTGAGTTGCACCCAAAGTCCAAGGAATGCACACATAACATCATACACCGAGGCACTGTCGCACTAGCGCCACAGAGGGGGGAAGAAGGGGGTGCTCATCGAACCCTCAACCTGAGGATCTTAGTGCCGCCCCGGAGGTCCACCCAACTTCCAACTCCAGCCCCTCCGCAAGCCAGCGCTAGTCTCCGGGGATTTGCGGTGTGGGGGAAGTTTTTTCGCGTTTCGTTTTGAAGCTTTCGGAGGTTGGACACATCTTGTCGTTTTGACGGTCCTTGTTCTGTCACTGAACTACGGTACGGTGTTCCGAGTTTCGTTGTGCAAATACCAGCAAACACCGCGAACACCGATGACTACAACAAACCAATTCAAGCGCCCTTGCTACCCTCGCCCTCACACCCGCTCGCTTTGTGAGTCTACATGCAGGCTGATCTAGCTGACATAGCGCACTGGAAGTTTTGCATTGGGATGGTCGAGATGTGGGATTCGCATGAAGAGTGCTTTGGAGAGCCCACATTGCTAGCAGGTCATGCGCAAGACGGCCACAGCCTCTTAAATAATGCGCTGCCGCAGAAGGAACTCGGACTTCTTGGGTTAGGTATGCACAGGCTCTGTGAGGCCTTCTTTTGAATGAGCTTGTGTAGTGTTTTCGCATTTGGATTTCGCACATTTTGCACGGGACTGCGCAAGTTTCATCTATCGCATGTCCCGTTAGGGCACGCTTTACATGTCAACACAAAGGAACCGTCTTGTGCATCTGCTACTATTCTGCCGGGTGTCCGGTTTCCCCTGCGCCCAGAGCAGCATGACAACAAGAACCCAACCCAAGGGCCCAGGGGTCAAAGGAACTTCTGACCGAGAGTCCAGAAGGTATATGGCCAGATCCAGCTACCGAGGAGACATTCCTCGGCAAACATCGCAGCAGTCGTCAGCGAGGATAACCGTGCAATGTACCGTGCAATCTAGGGCTTGAAATGGTGTGGGCTCCGTCTGATCCCTAGGTCCTAGGATCCGATCACATTCAATCCGCTTCCTTTTGCATCTTGGTTGACATAAGCTCAAGTCGGATCCCACATGGCTCTCCTAGAAGGGTTTGTCGCAGGACGCTTCGGCCCCATATGCCTCCCCCTGTTCACCTTCAAACGCCCAATGGCCCAAAACATTCAACGGCAAAGCCGTAGACTAGAAAAACTCACCGTCAAGACCCGCAACGTGTCTTGTTTGAGGGGCGACAGTGGCTTCACACCTCTTCCAACAGATTTCTGTCAATAAAACCTATTCTTGCGCATAATAACCTGGAACACGTTAAGCATCCGGGAGCCTACGCAACACGAAGCCGCGGTAAGCAAGGGTCAGGTGAGATTCACGATAGCCGCGCCTCCTGTTCTGCCTTTCTGGCCCGCCTGGGATTCCAAGGCATGAGAAGGCTCCTCATGAAATCAGTGGATCAATCATGGTCAATCCCTCCTCGTGCCTTCTGAAGCAATGGCAGGGCTGCCATAGAGAGCCGCATGCAGCTCATGAAGTTGCTGTTGAAGATCTTCTCGAACTCCTCATCCCCGAACTCCTCCGCCCTCTTGCGAATGTTGATGCCACAGTTGTTCACCAAAACATCCAGCTCAGACCAAGGCAGTTGGTCCACCAAGGCCGCAACACCTGCTTGGGTGGAGAGATCGGCAGGGATGGCCTGGCAGTGCTCACTTCGGGGCATCTGCCGCTGTGCGGCTGCAAGCTCCTCTGTCCCCCGCGCGCAGATCACAACATCCGCGCCCAGTGACAGCATCAGCCGCGCGGTGGCCAGGCCGATGCCGCGCGAGCCGCCCGTCACCACCACCTTCGGGTCACTTTGTTGAGAAGGGGGCAAAGTGGCGGGCAATATGTAATTTGGGGATGAGTTTGGAATAGTTGCTGGCGAGCTCAGTGCCTTGGTGCCCTGCAGCTCCACACCCGAGCTGAGCCTGTCGGGCTCAGCGTAACGGGCAATGCTCCGCCTGGCACCTGCAGCAAGGGCCAATGTGACCGGAGCCCAAAGCCACGGTCGTGGCTCTTGCAGGGAGGTCTCTCGAGTGTGTCCGACTCTGCAAGGACCCTGCACTTTGGCAAGGGGTTGCACAGCAATCAAAGGGCTGCCACAGCTTGCGGGGAACATCATGGACGAGCCTTCAGTCGACTTACGTGACCTAAACACTATGGCGAACCTCCTAGAAACCGCGACCATAAAGACCACCGCCGTGCTGGGCATCCTGAGAATCATGTCAATTTTATACTCTTATAGTCATCCTTGTTCTGCGCTGCAATTATTCTGCTGAGCACCGGATCGGGCGAGAGGCAAGCAGCAAGCAGGCCGAAACAAGTAAGCAAAGAAGCCTCACCACAGCTCATTCCTGGTTGCACCCAGCAGTACACAAACCCATCAAGAATCAACGTCCGCCAAGGTAACGCAGCACTCGTGCGGGTCAAGACCTGCTTCGGTATTGACGGCGCTGGCCGTATTATTGCTCCGTGAAGCTGTTCTTGTGCAATGCATGAACCTATGCAGCTATTTTCTGCAAAGCCAACATTTTCTTCGTTTCCTGCGGCGTGAAACATCCTTTCCGGCACTTTCTGGTACCGGCTCCCGGGAGCTAAGCGAGGTTTTCCGCTCGCATATAGCTGGGCAAACCACGCTGTGGATCCAGACGACGCTCGGTCTACAGGTTCGACAGGCCACTCATTCACTAAGTTGTCCAATTCAAGCTCTTTGCTTTGGGTTTGAGGGGCCTTGGGCATGAAGCCCGAAGACAAGAGGCTCCGGGCTTCTTCCAGATCTGCACTTTAGGAGGCCTTTGAAAAACCCATGAGTTTTCTACACGAAGCATCACGGCATCAACCCTGACCACATGTTGCCCCGCAAAACCGTGTAATTCTTATAGCGGCCATACGCACACTAGTGGACAGAGATGGGCAGTAAGCTTAAGTACAAGGGCTAAGGGTCGGTCATGGGGAACCGAAATGGATCATTGACGTTCGGCTCTGAACCTAAAATGATGGCAACCTCTGAACAGAAAATGATGGCTAGTTTGAGGCCTATACAGCCTGCAAAACCTGACCGAACAACTCGCCATCAGCGTCAGATGCCCCAACCTTCAAACTGAAATCTCCTGGACAATGCCTTCAAATTCGGTGGCAGTAACTTACAGGACTTACTGGTTCTTCGTCATTCTTCGCGCGCGCGCTCTAGGGGTACTTCGCCCTGTCAAAGGCGAAACAGGGATTGCTGCAGCCATGGCTGCCAGAATACCCTGCAAACAGCCCATGAAAAAAAGAATGGCGCTAGTTCAACTTGTGACTTCTGTTTTTTTCTGAGAACCGGTAGGTCAGTGGCACTGGAAATTTGGCTGCACTGCGCCCTCAGTCGAAGCCGGCAGTGGCGCGCCCGCCAAACTTTTTTTCAGGTCGTCGAGGCCCCACTATTTGGCCGGCTCGAGGACACTGGAACTTCCCGTGCTTTTTCACAGGGGGCACCTCGAAAAAGCAACAAAGGCTCCAAGTATTGCTTTGAGCCCCTATGCGGGGAAAAATGCACAAGCATAATCCAAGTACTGCTAGATCGCGGCCCTGCTTGGCCATGGAAGCTGCCCTAAACCCTAAACCCTAAACCCTAAACCCTAAACCCTAAACCCTAAACCCTAAACTCTAAACTCTAAACCCTAAACCCTAAACCCTAAACCCTAAACCCTAAACTAGACAGCAAGGCACTGGCAAGTCTCTCGAGCAGACGAAGTTGTGTGTATTTCTGGCGGTTTATTATTCTTCTTATTATTATTCTTAATGTTGGACCTGCTTTATTAGGGGGGGTCGCTTTAAAGTCAATTTGGCGGAATTATTCAGGACCCCCTCACTGTTTGAGGGGTCCGCTTTAAAGTCAAACCGAACCCGAAACCCGGCAATTTTTTTTAAGGATTTGGGGCTTGCTGTAAACTAAGTTAAAACATTCAATCCTCAATACCAGACCTCCAAATGCAAAACCCTCAGCCCTGCAGAAGCTCAGTATTCTTCTCAACCTGAGTCTCTCAAGCTTTTCAAAAAGAGGGCCCGTGCTGCCTCAGGCTGCAAGTTGATGACTGAGTTATCCCTAAACCCGAACTCTTGGACTTCTGGACGTCCTAAGTTGCCTGAGGCAGCAGTCGTGGCCGGCCCTAGAGGGGGGATGTCCCTGAGCCTGGATTTGCTCAGGTTTCTTTGGCTGGGCAAGCTTCACTACCCTTCTGAGCCTCAATCGGCTGAGGCCTGTTGGCTTGAGTATCTCTTTGAGATACTGGGGGATGTTCCTGAGCCTGGATTTGCTCAGGTTTCTTTGGCACCGGAAGCCTCACTACCCTTCTCAGCCTGAATTGGCTCAGGCTTGTCACTACCCTTAGTGCTCTAAGGCCAGAATCTTGGCTGTGGCTTCTTTGCTGAGATGCTTCCAGGTGAACCTGAAGAGGTTCTTGTCGAGGGATTCCTTAGCAGCCACAGCAGCCTTGCTGGTCGAAGTCTTGGCTGTGTCTAAGGCGTGCTGAGCTTTGGCTACCCTCTTCTCTGCTTCCTCTCTCTCTGCCTCAGTCTTCTTGTAGGCCTTGTCGATCTCAGCGATCCTCAGCTTCTGCTCCTTCTCAAGATGTGGCTTCATCTTGAGAAGCCTCTCCTTCCAAGTCTTAGCCAGAAGCCCAGGCCAAACCCTCAGCCATTCTCCTCGGGCCTGCCTCACTTCCTGCTCCATCCAGGCTAAGACATAGAACCCGCAGGCACTGCTGAGTTCGTCTTCTTGGGGAGGCTGAACTGAGGATCGAGCAAGCTCCCAATCCTGACCTGAGCCAAGGTGCAGGCCTCAATTGGCTGCTGAAGGCTGTCGTGGAGTCGCCACTGAAAGCCCTCGGTCTGGTCCAGGGACTCTCTCTGAGCCACCAGCAAGGTCCAGTGCAAAGCCCTAACCACTGGAACCAGAAGCCTGAGGGCATTGCCGAAGGCTTGCTTAACGGCATTCTCACGTGGCTCAAGCAAGTGCTCAGGAAACTCGAAGAGCAAGTGAGGAAGGCCAGGGTCTAAGCACTCCACTGAGAACTCCTCAAAGGAGCCTGCCTTGGCTTTTCGCAAAGACCAGCTCATCATGGCCCAGCCCTGCCAGATCCACTGATCCTCCACTAAGAATGGCTTCTCAGTGTCAGGGAAGGGCACTAAGCCGTGGTCGGCATAGTCGTCGTGCCTCAGCTTTGGCTCAGGCCAGCAGGAGATGGCCCGGAGGATTGTTTGAGTATCTGCCCTGCTGAGGTATTTCAGCTGAGCCCAGACGAACTCAGCAGTCTTGGGCTCCCAAAGGGTCAGATGCTCAGACCTGATCTCGAAGGTGCCACTCACGGTCATGACAGTGTAGCGACCTGACTGGAAGTCTGAGGCAATGCCCTTAATGCCGAAGAGCATGTGGCCAGCAGCCTCAGAGACACAAATGACTTCTTTCTCAAGGAAAGGAGCCAGGGCTGCGGACTCAGTCTCTGTGGTCTCAGCTTTGGCCTTGGTCTCAGCTTTGGCCTGAGCCTTCTTCTCCTTCTTCTCCTTCTTCTTCTTAGCTGTGACCTTACCAATGACCTTGTCGACTGTGGCCTTCTGGTCGTGCTTCTTAGCTGCTTTCTTCTTAGCCGAAGCCTTCAGGAACTTGCTGGCCTTGCCCTTTGCTGAGGGCTTGTTCTTTGCTGAGGGCTTGGTGGTTGCACTCAGTTTCTGGCCTTTCGTCTCTGTCCTCACAGGCACCACCTCAGCCAGTGCTTCTGCACGACTGTTAAGCATCAGCTTTTGCCTCAAGCTTTGTAGAAGCCTCTCCCTCCTCACGGCTGCTTTTTTCCTGATCTCCTTGACTCTGTCAGCATAGCCCTCCTCAAGAGCTCTGCGAGCTGCTGCACGGCGGAGCTTTGGATGCAGCCTGAGGGAAAGGCTGTTCTGCAGACTCAGGTCCAGATCCTCTGCGAGCTCACCGTCTAAGTCAAAGCCTCCTTCCTCAGGCTCCTGTTCAAGGTCTTCCTCAGGGTTGAAGTAGTCCCACCTGATAAGGTCGGAGATCTGCTTAGCTGAGTCGCTCAGAGACCAGTCAGCCTGGATGGGTTTGCCTGCGTCGTCCAGCCACTTAAGCCTCTCTGAGAGCCAGCTGGCTGGGAAGCGACGACTGCCCATCCTGAGGTCGAGCTCCTTAGCCCAGGGCTGCTCGGAGACCGTCTCAAGCCTCCCAGTCTGAGGGTTAGGCCGATAGGCCAGAAGGCCATTCCTGACGGCTGCCCTCACGACCCAGGAGTGCTCTTCGTTCTTCTGCCTCAGCTGCTCCTCCGCCCAGACCACTGAGGTGACGATCTCAAGGGCACCCACTCGCCACACCTCAGACTTCCCTGAGAACTTTTGCTGCTCCTGAAACTCTGTTCTCAGGGAGGACAGCTTGTGCCTCACGGCACCCTTGAACTCCTTGGCGAAGTCTGAGTCCGTGATCTGGAGCTTAGACGTGCACTTCGCAGCAACTAAGCAGCTGATCTGCTGGGCTAAGGCCATCGACTCAGCAGCCGTGTCTGAGAACACGGAGCTGAAGCAGTCCCTCTGCCAGACTGAGCAAGGGTACTCAGTGGCCTGGCCCTCAATGACCCAGCTCAGGATCACGGAGTCGACGTTCGCAGCTGGCTGGCTCATGATGTCCAGCTTAGCGACCAGCTCAGGGTGAGCCTGCCTGAGCTTTCGATAGCTGAGCAAGATCTTGCCGACTGAGGCACCAGCTGAGTGAACCTTCTCCTTAGCACCGACCCTGAACCTCTCAGTCCGGATCCACTTGCCGTCCTGAGAGATGTTGCTGAGGCGAGCCCACTGGCCGGGCACCACCAGCAGCCCCTTGCCCACTAAGCCGACGACTGGCTTGCTGGGCTCATCCAGAACCTGAAGAAGCACCTGACGGGCCTCGTAGGTGATTCTGAATCTTTCGTCGGCTGAGAAGCCTAAGGTGGTCTTAGCTCCGGCCTTAGGCAATGCCTTCTTCTGTTTCTTCTGAGGCTGCTGATGCTCAGGGCCTTTCTGACTGTGCCTGAACATCTGCTGCTGCTGCTCCTCTGCTTTGTCTTCGGTCTGCAGAGGTTTCTCTGGGCTAAGGCTGCTGAAGCTCAGGGCGCTTCTGACTGTGCCTGACCCTTCTGAGCCGAAGCTGAGGGCTTTCTTTACTCCGGGAGTGCTGTCACCTGTGCTGCTGATGGGAACCACTTGAAAGGTTGC